GTTCTGCGACTCCTACCACCGCTGCCATAGACCAAGGTTTGAACAAGTCCAGTGGTGAAGGATGCCCGCGAGGGTCTCGACCGTTCTCAAACTAACTTCTCAGAATAACCGCTAAAAAAACGATTATATATAATATCAATCACATGTCTGAACTAGAGCTAGGGTTTCACCCAGGAGTGTTCACGAAAGACCAACACACTTCGGGTATGCTGTAACTTGCTCGGGACAATGGTAAATTAGTCTCATAGTTGCCTGTTCAGATTCCTGATTATGACTAAGGCAAGCGGTAGGCAAAGAGGTCGAAAACGGGTCTGGCAGCTACGGGTTCCTCTTTTGTTTATGGGTGAATCTTCCATTCTCTGCGCCCGTTCTATCTGTGTTGATATGTATTTCCTTTCTTATTAGTGTAGTGTAGTGAGGGCGCACTCGTGGTAGAAGGCAGATGGATTTAGCTTCTTTCTAAGAGCCGGAGACCTAAGGCCGGCTAGTATCTTTCTGGACTGACCCTCCTGACTCATGATTGTCAAAGATCATGTCATGTCGAGTGCGAGCTGGGGCTGAAGGCCCGAGGCTGTTGGTTTTGGAATAGGATTAGACTTGTCCATAAGATTTGTCCTTTCCAGCACAAGGAACCTTATAGCACTTGGAAAAAAGAGGCTCTGGATCTGGCATCAACAGTGGATCCTGTCTGATAGAGCACCGGTTCCGGCATTGGGAGTTGATTCAATAAGAGTCATAGCGGAGTCGAGAACTAGCAGCTACTGTTGGAAGATGGGATTGTTTACTTGGCCACCTCTTTTTTCCTCGCCCTTAACTTGAAGGCTATGCCATCCTAAGGTGCTGCTAGATGGAAGGATCTTATCAACGTCCATGAATGATAAATCATAGCATAGATCAAACTACCGAATCGGAAAAATTGAGTGCTATGAGTGCTATCATATAGTTTTATATCGTCTAAGTTCACGAGTTGGAGATAAGCAGACTCGAACCGCTGACATCCGCCATAGGGTAAACCACCGCCTCTCAGGCCCCGACTGATTCTACCATAGAGGCCAACGATAGACAATAACCCCTCGAACACAGCTTACAACTTTCATCGTACTGTGCTCTCCAAAGAGCAACTCTTCTAAAAATATCAAAGGGTGCTGAGTTGGAATCCCATTCGAACTAAGCTAAGGATTCTTGTGGTTCTGGAGGATCCAGCTACAGGAGAACCGGGAACGAAGAGCTTCTCCCCCTCCCGACTCTTTGGTCTTAAGAATGCGGGTTTTAAGAATGAGTAATTGCACTTCTCAGACCCTTAACTGTTCAACCTGAGAGCGGATAACTAATCCGTTCCGCTTTTTTTTTGAACAGGGTTCTATGGTCGGTCCGCGACCCCTGGATGCCGAAGGCGTCCTTGGGGTGATCTCGTAGTTCCTACGGGGTGGAGACGATTGGGTCGGTCCATGGACTTTCTTTCCTTTTGTTTTCCCGCATTTCGCTCAAAGGGTTTAAGGGAGATAGTGCATCAAGCTGTTTGTTCGCAAGGGCCAGCTTTATCCTCTTCCCCAGGATCTCAGATGAGGAAACCCTAGGAGAGCCACCGACTCCAACTACCGTCCATGTATAGAGATGGCTTTTCCCCTATTAGAGATGGAATTCCTAACTCTGACTTTATAGTTCAACCCTTAGAGTGTGAAAAGAAAGGGCAGAAAGTCTATTTTGGGGGTGGGTCTAGAGGGTAGGAAAGAGATGTGTGGCAGAGGGCAGTTGAGGCGTCGAACGAACATGTTTGAGTATGGATCGTAATTGAGCGAAAGATCTGCTCATCGAAAAGTGGTCAACAAGCGAAGGTCTTGACCTGGAAGGATCGAAGAGAGCGCTAGTAGATCGAGCTATAGGCGCATGGACTTGGCTAGTGAAGCACAAACCACTCATCTTTCCATAGAGAGTGCTACCCTAGAGTAAGATGAGCGACCCCAGTGGCAACGTTAGTCCCAAGGTAGCTTGCTTACTTCACTAGTCAACGAAGTGCGTAAACAAATAAAGGAACATTCTTGCTTGATCATTTGCTCTGACTAGACCGCCCCCCCTAGAGTACGAGACTGGTTCGCCATAGGTCTGAAGTTGGCTACTAATTGGATATAAATCTCGTGCAAACACGATTTACTTATTTTATGACGTGACGAAACCCCGGAAATTTGACATCAATTGCTCAGAAAAGCTCTTTTGGAGGTTAGCTTTTCAACTATTATCGTACTATAAGCATTTTCGAGAATCGACCTTTAAACTATGCCAAAAACCCGGTTTTTTAGCCGGCCTAGCCGATTTGTAAACAAACGTAGTGTTACGCTTAACACATGCATGATGGAAGACAATTCCTTTTCTTAAATATGAAAGATCGTATTTGAAATCAACCAAAGAGAGGAAAACAAAGTCTTTTCTTGACCTCGGAGCCCTGGAATGAATATTCAGAAAGTTTTGCTGCTCCAAAGCTGTCTCGGAAAAGATACAACTCTGAAACCAACCTGTCTAAAGCAACTTTGCAGTTTCACTACCGAAGCTTACACCATCTTCTGATGAAGGGGCAACCGGTCGATGGTCAACAAAGGATCCTATCTCAAACTCAAAGGCATTTCTTTCTCGTGGGAAGAATCGTTATTTTAGGACCCGATAGCCAACAGGGGTTCAAAAGTCGCATTTTCTTGACTGACATCGGCCTTCTAGAGCTTCAAGAGGGGAAAACCAGAGTAAAAGATTGGATTTGTGAAACCAACCAAATTCAATGTCTTTCTTTGACTCTACACCTCTACACTCTACTTGAATAAAGGGTTTTGCCTCCGAAGCTAACAACCGCTAAGCAGAGGAGAAGCTAAGCTATACAAAGCAGTCTAGACTAAACGAACAACATGGGACTCAAAGAAGGATCAATCCATTTTAATCTCTCCCTTAGAAGGGAAATAAACCAATACTTTTTACAAAAGGGAAACTCATTAAATTTCCTCTCCTTATCGACTAACTCGCCTAACCTACAAGCGGAAAGAAATAGTTTCACCTCCTCTGCGAAACCTCTGCTCGAAGACGAATTCCTCTTTTTCCTTTTCTGCGTGCCATTCCTGCGATGTTTCAAACAACACATGTAAAAAATATCATAAGAGAAGAATTGGCAAGGAAAGTCGTACGCCAGGTTCACCAGGTTCTACCAATACAGGGCTCAATCATGCTAGTTAGGCTATATGCTTAACACATGCAATTCTAACGAAGTGCTCTTGGACGACTCTTTGATATTCCGTCAGTAAGTCAGTGCATCAAAAAAAGAGTCATGCTCTTCCTCTTTGAAAGGAAATGGGCTTTAGTTAAGTCATCGATTCCAATCCTATATTTTTTTTTTGTTGGTCAACAACCACATATCGTTTCTTTTCCTTCAAGACTTCGGACAGAAAGAGAGTCCGGAGGGAATCATTGAGAAACAATCAATCATGCCTCAACTGGATAAATTCACTTATTTGGTCATGTCAGAATTTGCACCTATTTGTCTCTCATTCGTGATCAGTCTGCTAGTTTCTTTGATCTTACTCGGTATTCTTTTTGTTAATCCAACACGAAAGTTGCCCCCAGGCGAGGTTTTTCCTATGGCTCTCGGTCTTTTATCTTGCTTTGGCACTCCTCTTGCCTTTAGTGCCGACACCGTACCTTCCCCTTCGGATTTGTTTACGTATACTTCCGACATGCTGGAAGACTCGGCGAGTTCCGGGTGTAGTAGTAGTACCTCAGCGGTCAATCAACCGCTTCCGGGGGAATAAGCTATACCTCCCACTCTTACTGTTATGCAGGAAGATGCTCTGCCCTACCCCTATCAAAATAATGAGATTATAGGGGGGGACAGTGTTGAATCCATCCAACGGATGCTTTTGGGGAGATTCCCCTCTCCTTCTGCCCATGAGATTCAAATGGCCCAGATTGAAGCCGAAGACCTATTCGAGGTCAAGGTCGATATCTATCAAGTCATGGCGGGCCATCACCCAAGCGGGGATTGGATGGGACGGGGGGCTAGAGCTCTGGATAATCTTCGTACCGCCACAGGGGAGGAGTCCTTAAGTCAGCTCCTTCGAATGCGTGAGGACCTGGAGACTGCAGGTTTGCAGTCCGCAACCTTCCGACAATTGGCCGACAGAGTGCCATTCTGGGCAGATGCGGATCAACACTCAGCCACCTAGGACAGGATGAGATCGCTTGCAAGACACGACGCTCCCTATGATATCTGAGGTATTTTTCCCATGCATCGGTCAACAACCAAGCACAGCTCTCTATAGTTATTCACTACTCCGTGCATGAAAGACTCTCTTTCTGTCTGGAGGTAATTTTTTTGTCTCAATCAATCATGCCTCAACTGGATAAATTCACTTATTTCACACAATTCTTCTGGTCATGCCTTTTCCTCTTTACTTTCTATATTCCCATATGCAATGATGGAGATGGAGTACTTGGGATCAGCAGAATTCTCAAACTACGGAACCAACTGGTTTCAAACCGGGGGAACAAAATCCGGAGCGAGGACCCCAACAGTTTGGAAGATATCTTTAGAAAAGGTTTTAGCACCGGTGTATCCTATATGTACTCTAGTTTATTCGAAGTATCCCAATGGTGTAACGTCGTCGACTTATTGGGAAATAGGAGGAAAATAACTTTTATCTCTTGTTTCGGAGAAATAAGTGGCTCACGAGGAATGGAAAGAAACATCTTATATTTGATCTCAAAGTCCTCATATGGCGCTTCTTCTTCAAATCCTGGATGGGTGATCACTTGTAGGAATGACATAATGCTAATCCATGTTCCACACGGCCAAGGAAGAATCAAAAAATAAGAAAGGTATTGCTTTTTTTATAATAGTTGCTCGTTCGTTCATAAATTCACTCCACCACTTGTTAGTCTTGCTACACGACACGAGTCTAGGGTGAAGTTGAAGCAGACACGAGCAAGTAAAGTCGACTTCACAAGTGATTCAACATACCATATATATGGATGGAAATCAAAAAGGAGATAAGGGTCTCGCCCAGGTGGCTCCCGCAAGGTAACGACTTCAAACTCAAACAAAAAACGTTCTTCTCCAAGGCATGAGTCAAAGAAAATGTTGTATGTATTGCAAGACCCGTCGATAAGCTAAGGCTACGACGTGAAGGAAGGCCAGAAGAACTGCAAAACCACGCCCACCAGATCTAAAGGAGACCGAAGGGACTTGCGGGAGGTGAAGGTTGTTGGCTTGCCCGTGGGCCGTGGTATCTGACGAGACATTGGCCTCCCTTCTGCTACGGCTCGCTGTACGTTCCTTTAGCTATAGGCCTGTCCAATCCGAGAATAGTCCGTTCCACATAGTGCAAGGAAGCTCAGTGGGGTTTCATACGAGGGCCCTGCGTACTGTGCCATTTTCCAACCAGTACAGTACGACCATTTCAAATCTCCCCGCGAAGCTTTCGGGAAGAGGGGTAGTCTTGCATTCAGAAAGAAAGGTTATCGAGACTATAAATAGCTCTTTTTAGTGGGGAGGAATAGTGCTGGAAGGGAGCGAGACCAAGCCTGGGCCACTAGGAGAGTAAGCCCTTCCCACGTGTAAAGTTTAATAAAAGAATGCAGCCTCAACCAGAGAGAGAAACTTGTGCCGGCAGCGGCGCAGAACGCACTAATCCGCGACTAGCAAGTTTTCCTAAACCAAACTTAATAAATTGAATTGTTACTTTTAAAAAATGCTTGCTGAAAATAAAAGAAAGAAAAAGGATCGAGACAGGAACCTGACTCTCTTAGCATAGGCTTGAAGCCCTTAGTTGCAAGGTCTTTGACTGTGCCCAAGAAAGGGATGTGGGACAGGCAGCTAAGCAAAAAACAAACCCTGCAGTACAAGTACAACTACAAGAGGGGGCCCTACCAGTCATAGTCTTCACTCTCCCTCATAAGAACTCAATTCCTGGAGTTCTTGCTTCCTTAGTAGACATCCCATCTCGTATCTGTATTTGTCATTGAATGTGAGCCCTCATCTCATGCTCCTACTACCTCTTCACTTCAAGTTGGAGTGATGGACGAGTGAAGATCGCCAACTCTTTCTCCCCCTTACCATCCCGGATACCGTGAATTTACTTCAACTTCAATCGGACCGACTTTTCAAGAAAGATCTGAAAAGATCCTAGATAAGTATAAGATAGTAGCTGGTTGATCTCCAACTTCTTATCGTTTTTATCAAGTGTGACTAGAAGCCCATACTTCTGCTTTTCCTGATCCTTTTAGTGCTAGAACTTGGAACCTGGTTGTAAAGCTCATTCCCGGTCTTGCAACTTGGTCATTTGATCGATTTCCTTGCAAATTCCTAAGCATGAGAGGAAGGAACTGCTTCTCTGAGCCCCCACTTTTGGGGGGAGGTAGACGCTATGCCAGATAGGGCGCCTCAAATCTTCGAAAAATCACACGCAGAGGGATTATGGAAAGGCCTGTAGATATGTTGTGCCCCTTTTGGGGATAAATTCCTCCCGGTCCGGATAAGCTAACTCTTCCTTTTGAGCCAGGGCCAACCGCTATGAGCTGAAAACCCAGCTCTTTACTTCTCCTTTTTAATAAAAGGTTCTATGGCTCTTGTGCTAGAATTGCTTTTGTTTTGGGAGCTCAATTAAAATTCTCGTAGTGTAGTTACAGTCAACACAATAGCTTTAACGTGAGCAGCGCTTCGCTCCTTATCTTATATAGGTTATACACTATGCTGAATGAAAAAGTTTACCCATTCCCATTTCATTTGTAAGGACAACCCTTACCTCCTCTCTTCCAACTAGAATGCTTTTATTTGAGGCGTTCTGGTTTTGCTTATGCACACCGAGCTGCTTAGTCAGAATAGGCAAGCGGTGTGCTAGAGTGATGGATATCTAATTTTTTTCTGAAGCATCAGTTGAACATTTACCAATATGGGTCGCAGTTGGATCCAACCGGTCCCACTTGTTAATCACCCAGCGATTGGTTTGAGATTTCCTTTTTGGAATCTTCTCCATCTGAATTAAGTTGTCAGAACTGCCACCATCGAGAAGAATGCGCACGGTGGTGCCTGCAATCGACCCCGAAAAGTAGATAGTACATTTGCCAGAAGTGCCATGATAAGCTTGTAATGACAAATGATGCAAAGTTGGAGAATCATCTGATGGAAGATCTGGTGGAATAGGTTCGGCGACAACAGAGGAGGAAACATCGCCATCCGGTTCATCCACCTGCAGAATCATGTATTGGCGATTTGGACATTTGTGCTTCCACGAGAATTTATCGTCGCAAGTAAAGCACAGCCCCTTTTCCCGTCGCAGTTGCATTTCTGCTGCCTACAATTTATTCACTGGTGGCAGAGGCTTAGTTGGAGGAGACGGAAGGAGAGGCGGCAATGTAGATTTAGTTGACGTAAGTGAAGGAGAAGATGAATTGGACAGAGAGGTCCGCATCAATGAGGAAGGCACCATTGGTTTTTCTCGTGCAACCGAAATCTGTAACAGGTAGCGCTCGTCAAATGAACGAGCCAGTGATGCAGCTCGTACCAAGGAAGTAGGAGACTGGGAGTTCGATTTCCTTTATGACTTTCACCTTGCACCTTACACTAAACTTAATCTCTTGCACGCGCGTATAAGAATACCTTGCTGGCTATTCCTTATTCTTGATAGCACGGGAAAGAGAGATTTCGGAATCTCTTGACTTCATAGCTACGCACCTTTCAAACATACTTTTCTTATCTTACTCCAAGAGCGAAAAGAACATCATATCATCGGTTATAATATCCTATAATACCAAATGGTATCCAGAAAGAAAAGTAGAGGAAGTGTCTTTGATCCTATTTTCTATCAAAGTAGGTTCTACCACTGCAGGCCCAATCCTACTACCCGGATGATCATCTTGGGTAAGATCTTTCTATATAAAAATATCAGTTGGATGCCTACACGTGATCCTTTTTTGCTTCCTTATATCGAGGAAGAGAAAAAGAGGCCTATATAAAAAGTATAAACAACTTAGACTTCTATCATAACACGGACCATGCTGTATATAGATTGGGTGTATGTCTGAGCTATCTTCTTTGTACCATCTAGAGGGCTGGCTGTGATTTCCCGGGGGCAGGACACAAAGCCCCAACACGCATGGTCTAGCACTACGATGGAAACTGGATGTCTGCCTTTGTGAGTACCTATCTTCTTATAGGAAATTGCTATTCAACAAAATATAAGATTGCAAAGATTCAGCCTTAGTCTTAGTAGAAGTGGGTAGCGGCACTGGGTAGACGGTCTATCCCCCTTTAACTTAAGTAGTATTTCCAATTTACTCTCTATCTCTAAAAAAAACATAACACAGTCCAGGATAAGTGTGACCGCGTATATATACTATATAGAAATCCTGCCCCACACCCGTGGGTAATGCCCCCGTAACTTCGGGAGAAGGTTTCTGAACTCCTATCTATTCAACCTGGCCTATCTTCTTTCTAACAAGAGGATGCTAAAATAAAAATGATAGCGAACTAGAAAGATACTGGCAGAAGCAAAATATCAAATCATAGACACCGGAGAGAACGATCATACTAGATGATAGCTATCTTAGAGAACGCTAATTTTACAATCAGAGAGAGCACCCTATTACATACTGCCTCACTCTTCTCTCTATCGTGGTTCTTTCTCGCAGAGTAAGGATTTTTAATTCTATACTATTTTCTATGGCGTAAAGGAAAACATTTCGGCTATTACATCTATGGGTCAACGACTTTCAGGAGTCTCTAAAAGAGGGGATGGAAGCAAGGTCCAATCCCATTATTCTAACTTATAATATAATACGATCATCTCACAGATGAAGAAGTGAGCAAGCCTTTCTCCAATGGATTCTAATAGCGCAAACTAGGCATCTTTATCTGATTGAAATTTCTATATTAGTAATAAAGCCCCTTGTTTCAAGGCTAGGGCTTCCCGATTTAATTGCTATTTGAATTTAGCAGCATTGGCCGTAGAATCAAATATGGACGGTGACTGACCACTAGATATGTCGATCGAGACCTTGCTTCACCACGCCCAAGCCAGAGGCTAAGTAGAGTTGAATAAGGTGAAGATGGATACCACTCATAAAGAGCTTGGTTAAGTGGTATGCCTTGCTAGTTGGATAATAATCCCTTCCCTTTCTTTAGACTTGCTTGCTACTGGATTATTATAATATAAGACAAACAAGTTTGCATTGGTAGCTATTCTTAGCGGTGACATACTTAAATAAAAAAAGTAATATATAATTATTGAAGTTAAACCACGGGAAAACAAGCACAGGAAACAAGACAACGGCCAACGATCCGTTCCATCACTCCCAATAGAATAGATAAAGCAATGAGAAACCGCTCGGGACCCATATTCCCATGGTCCCTTCGCTCAACAAAAAGTCCTAACAATAAGGATATTATCTAACAGATACGTTGTCTAACTACTATAACAAAGTCATCAACTTAGACTACTTTCAGATAAGGGTTGTTATACAAGTCAACTATTATCGTACAGTGATGATCGAAATAACTTTACTGTTGGTGATCCCTTTTCGAGTTCCTTCGTTCCAGTCCAGCGGCGGAAGGGGAGACTTAGATCTTGTCTTCTTTCGCTTGGTTTCCCCAGGTGGTGTGGTTGGGGAGTAGAGACCTCGATGCCGGGTCGTTCCAAAGTGACTTGTTATTGCTGCTGCAGTGCTTCTTGTTCATCATCCAGGAATTTCTTTAGAATCTTTGCCTTCCTTACCAGGAACTGGATTCAAACCAAGTATAAGATATTAAAAATGTCGGAGAATACCCGGTATTTGAGTTTTTAGCATTAACACGATTAAATCTTATTTTTTCCTAGCCGATTCTTCCCTTCCTTCTCTTCTCACTCCCCGGGTTTAGCTCCCGACTGGAGGGAGAGGGGCAAGGCATTAGGGATAGCTGCTTTCGTCTCCAGTAATGGATGGATAAGGTGGTAGTGCAAAATTTTGGAGTAGCCATAATGGAAGAACTTTTAGCTTGGTTGTCCGACCCTCTTCACCGATCTCCTAGCCTTACGAATAAAACATCTTCGGGCATCTGGTTTCAAAGAGAGATTGGTTAGTCGCCTTCTGTTCATTCTTACCCCTGACTATCGGACCCCATTAGTTAAGTTGGGGCAGGAATAGCTATCGGACTATGATCACAGGTCGGGCCGACCCTCCTTTATTATAGTCCAGTTGGAGAGGGAAAAGTCCCATCCGTTCCAGAAGTCGCAGAGAAATGGAAGGCTTCAATACCAAAAACTACGGAGGCATGATCTAAAGATGGGTAAGCCCGGTGGTTCAAGTTTAGCCTAGCCAACAACCAACATCAGCTTCTAAGGAGAGTAGGAGCTCCTGTTGCTCCAACCATTCTAGTGAACCGGTCGAGACCAGCAGCTATGAATACCCTGTGCCGGTTGTGCGAAGGCAGCCTCAATAAAAATCAAGAAAAATGTCCTCCTAAGGAAATAAAGTTGATTCACCTCTACCCTATTGGTTAATCCCGAAGGAAGCTTCCCTGAGAGAGCTTCTATAAGATAAGATCTTTTTCCATTTAGTTTAGAGAGAGTAGCTTACTTTCCGCGGTCTGCTATTCCTTTCCTCTAATGACTCAATTTAAAACCTACCGAAATGGCTCTTTAAAGAAGGTCTTGATTCACAGGAAAATTTTGAGAGGGTCGACCAATCCATTTATCATCCCACCACTCACCCAAGCAAGCTTGGGAGTTCAGGTGCTACAGATTAGTGAAGCCCGATCGTAAGTAACTTCCACAAAAGATATCTAGTTTTTGTCCTTCTCGGGTTCCAATTCAATCTTCTGCTGCTGCCCCCGGCCTATACTTAATTTTAGACTTTATGGTCCAGGCCTCAGGCTTACACAAGTCTAATTCTTCCGCTACCGATATTGGATCTGAGCCTTCCTTGAAAGAATCGCAAACAAAGAGTCAATTGCTTAGCTTATCGAGATTGGCCCCTCTTTCTTTCCTTTTGCGCCAAAATTCCTTTCTTTTTTCTATTTAGCTTCTGCCACACATTTGACACTGACACCTGGGCTCCACCTGAGGATCACCCAGACGCACGAGCACAGACTGGTGTACACTCTCTGCACATCGCGGAACAAAGGCCTTTGCATGCAGCACCTGTCTTCCGCAGGTCTAGAGTAGCACAACTGAAGCAAAACCTTCTTTTTGGTAATACACGCCCGGGAGAGAGAGACATCTCTCGTTATTGCTACCTTTCTTACTACTTTGACACAGTCGTCTACGTAAAGGTCTGCACTCAGGAGAGATGCAGTCCCCCATGTATGACATCTTTGAGCCTTCACTGATGAATGTTAAGATGAAAGCATAAGAGACTAGCACCCTTTCTCAACCTAAGAAGCTTGCATCTAGGATTCAGACT